GTGTGTGTGTGTGTGTGTGTGTAAAGGCTATAAGGATTGAAGAAATTTACTGATCATTAATCAGCCCTACCCACCCCCACATCTCCCCCTCCAGCCCACTCTAACGTCCTATAAAATAATATTACGGCCTGCTGATTAACTCGAGAAGAACTGACATGATACACACTGTGTATTTTTAATATTAAGGATTTCCTGATCATTTAAAGGGGTACAATGACGGTGCAGACACTGGGGTCTGCCCATTGTTTCCATCTTTTTTTTTTCGCTCTCTGCGACAAAATCCAGTCGCCTGTATCAGAGATCAGCGCCTTGTTTTTCCCAGAATGATTGTGTAAGCAACAATGATCCTGATGAAACGATTTTAAAGCTTCAGAGAAATGTCCTGCGGCTCACAGATTTCTCACCTTGCTGCTCCACTGACGTCCCAGTCGTAGCATCTGCAGCCCAGGCATCGTTGGCGGTGCGCTGGGAGACCATGGAGGACAACATCATGGTCTGCAGCATCTTCTCCGGAGCGAGCACCGGACCGTCGGCGGACCGTTTGCGGGGGCCCATCAGCCTGGAGCTCGGTGCCGTCATCCGCTCCTTCCTGGCGGCGTCAGGGACGCTGTCGGTTGTCGGTTCCGTCGTTGGAGGCTGGAATGTAGGTGCAGTTTTTGTGGATGCGGGGTCGGGTGTAACAATAACAGGCCCGAGGACGGAGCCGCTGCTCTCCGGTAAAGAACGAGGCGTGTCGGTGTGGAGGGTCTCCCAGGTGTCTGAGGCTGAGCCGGGCTTCCTGGTGGTGCTGGGCGACGCATCGTAAGGGCTGATGCGAGGTGAAGCGTCCGAAAATCCAATATGTCCGTACAAAATAAGCAGCAAGGCGGGGGATATGTACATCATTGAGGACGTGAAGCTCATATTCGGTTTCAGCTCTCCATGTAAGCCCCGGTAACGGTCTCTCTCAGACCTTTCCCTGAATGAACGCGTACTCCACCATTGATGTCCCCCGTGGCGGTGTACGCTGCTGCCGCTAACAACCACAACACTTCATCCGCAGCGCAACCTACCTCCCAAATGATTGACATGCTCGACAACCAATAGGAGAGCGGCGCTTCGCTGGTCTGCTCTCTGATTGGATGATCGTTGTACCATTAATCATTATGGTCACAATAATTAAGCGTTCCAACTCTGTAAATGCTCATAATTTAAATACTCTCATTCATAAAAAGAACACCTCGTGTTTTAACTGCTCCATAATGTTTTTGCTCGCGTCTGTGTTCGCGTGTCTGTTATCCAGTCATCTCACGAATCACTGCACAGATTTGAATGAAACTCATTGGATGTTCAGTGCTACTAAATTAAAACATTTAAGATGTCTGCCACAGCTAAGCGACCTTAACAAACATAAAAAAACGTCACAACTCCAAGTTTCACAGATATTAGGCTAAAATTCATGTGGTAGTAGCTGAGTATCATCCCCAAAACATACTCAAAGCTCTTCACATTGTACAATATTTTAGCCTTAAAACATTTGCTGTCAACTCTGTCCATTAGCAAAATCTATCATAACTCACTGGATGGATGTTAAGTAAACTCTCAGATAATTATCACCGGGTTTGCTGATTATTTTTAAAATCAACCCAATTAAAGATGGCAGCCACAGCCAGTGGCCTTATAAAAGTGACTATTTCTGTGTTTTTCTTTCTTTCTTTTTTATTTTCTTTAATTACATAAGTAATTAAGCATGGTTAGTGTTTTATTGTGGCCACTCATAAAAAAATAATTATACTCATAGCAGATGAAAGCCCAATCCTGAAAATGCTGCTTTATCTTTGGCACATTTCCTGTCTCAAGAAGTGTTATAAGTAGTCTACCTAAATTTATCCAGTCAGCTTTACAAATACTGAAATCAAATCTGCTGCTGTTGTAGCTGTGAGTCATTCTAAAAACAATCTGAGCGCTTATTTTTAAACTTTGTTGTGTTCAGTTAGATTACACTTCCTTAAATGGCCTAATATTTGTTCAAGAAGCTCAGGTATGATCTCTTATATTGACCTGAAAAAGCCATGTGCTGACATGACTTTTCCACTTTAACTCCAATAAGTTCTTTTAGTTAAACGTAGACATGTTTGGTACATACAGAAATGTCAGAATCTTGGCTACAAGCTGATAAAACCTATTTCTATGAACTTCCAAAACAGTTAAAATTCCAATCAGCTGAAGATAAAACTATGAAAATGAAAATAAAATTGGTTTAATTATTTGGCAAGTCAGGGATGTAAAAATAATATTTGTGTTAAATAGTGTGTTATTTTTGTTTTTTATATTGTTTTATTATCACTGCTATTACACAGGGTTCTGTATGTTGTATTCATGATCAAATGCAGCAAAATAAACTATTTCAAAGGTAACAGATCTTTGTAATACTTGGTTTGTTTACACAATGACCTTAATTGCTGGATGTTCGGCCCCTGTGCTGTTGACCTACATTAACTGTGGCCACAGGAGCAATTTAGTTGAACAGCCCTGGTCTACGCAGTCTATACTGAATTAAATAAATCTGAAGTGAAATGTAATAACTGGGATTAATTTGGAATAACTGGATTATTGCACTCAGTTTAACACTCACTGAATTCTCACACTTCATATTCCCAATATTTGTATTGGCTTTCATGACAAGAGGAGTTAAGAAATGTTGCCTCTCAGTGGTCTGTAGGTGTAGTTACAGTTAAATGCAGCACAATTAAAAATCTTTGTGTTGGCTGTCCCAACACACGGTTCCGTGAGAACACTAATCACACATTTTAAATACAATATTTTATATTTATCACCCACCATCAAAAAGGGAAGTAGATGATTATGTTTTTGTCTGTGAGTTTGTTTGGCTGTACTGTTAACAAAATATTAAGACATTTAAGTGAAACCTTCAGAAAGTAACGACTGGATGTATCTATTATCTTTTGGAGTCAACTTGATTCAAGATGGCAGCTACAGCTCATCAAACATGGGAATTTTTTACTTTTTAATCTGACCATCCAGTCTCAACGGAGGCAAACCCCTGAGGAGCAAAAGTTTAAACACTCTTTATGAAATCTGTATAAAAAGGATAAAATCTTAGGAACTCACACAGTCCCTGTGTGAGAGACAAGTCCTACAGTCACTGTGTGAGAGACAAGTCCTACAGTCCCTGTGGGACAAGTCCTACAGTCCCTGTGTGAGAGACAAGTCCTACAGTCCCTGTGTGAGAGACAAGTCCTACAGTCCCTGTG